GTGCTCTCTCCAACTCCGGTTGTTGAACCTCTGTTGCTTTCTGTACGCGTGTGGTATACCCAAAAGAGTGACAATAGGTACAAAATCAATACCTCAACTTTGAGCGCCCATATCTCTTTCATATAAACTCCAAATCACACAAAATTTTCACCAAAATCATAGCCAAAAACCTAAACTTGCTGATTCCAGTCTCCAAAGCTCAAAAGATTCCGAAAGATTAATCCTAATCTCTAATATGGCCTTGGGCAGCCTCCTTGAAGTCCATTGGTTATGATTTTTGACCAATAGGAATGGAGATTTATATCATCCATCTCCATTCATTTATATGGGTGCCTTAACTACCATTTTTTCTACCAAAATCCCTCTTCAATCCCTTTTCATATAAGATTTATATATTATATGCTTCAAACACCATATTAAAGAATCAAAATAAAACTTCAAGGGTCACCAATGTCTAACAAGGGTGACTCTAAATGTTTAAAAGTTATTACTAATAAGTTCAACTTCAAAAGTCACTATCAAAAGAAAATCAAGTTAAATAAATTCTAATAGAACCTCCTTTTAAACAACCTCTTTTCAAGGTGGTATTCTATCCATATCTTGTAACCAACAAAAATCCACTAATATGGCTCTCACCATGTTGGCTAGTACATTATGTATTAAATATATATAAATACGTTATTTTCACATGGTAGCCAAACTACAATATGACAGCAAGATGCAAAGGGTCAAATAACTTGCTATAAAGCTTGTCTTATTGGCCAAATACTTACTCAACAATTTGGCATTGATTGTGAATCCACATATTCTCTAATCATGGAATTAATTACATTTTGATATATTATTAGAATGGTAGCTCATGCCACCCTTGAGATGCGATTCATGGATGTGATAATTGTGTATTTATATGATTCTCTTGATTCAAATATTTATATAAGAATTTAATCTAATATAAAAATAGGAACTCCAAACGTACTTATTCTAAGATGATATCGTGGTATTAAATTATATAAGATCCTATATAGTCTAAAACAATCTAAATGTCAAGGACAAGAATACAATAAAGACAAATAAAGGAGCAAGACTTCTCTCAAAGAAAGATGAAAAAATAGAAATAACTTGATATACATATATATATATATATATATATATATTAAGAAAGAAACTAAAATGGCTATTGCCAAAAAGCCAAAAAAACTAGAGACCCTTGAAATTAGATTGGAAGCAAGAAAAGAGTTGACAAGAGTGAAGAAGGCTTCACTCTTGTCTCTATATATACTATCTAACTAGGGGCTACGTGGCAACATTCTATACGACCTCTAATATGTGTTGACTTTGTAGGATACATGCCTTAACTTACAAGGCAAGTTTTTCTACATAAGGGCCACATAGTTAGCTTGGTCTTCAAGCTAACAACATATGTGGTACATGGCTAACTTGTTGATCACGTTTCTAATCCCAAAAAGTCAATTAAAGACACCTATAAAGTCAAAGCAGCGTCTATGAAGCTTCTAAAAAGCTTCCTTATCAAATACTATAGAATTAACTTATTTTTACCTACTTTTACTTACTTCTACCTATTTGTACATATAATTATTGGCTGACATGCATATGTTCGTGACATTACCCCCTCTTTTAGGGACGAGTTCCACAAGGAGTGATAATCATATGTTGAGGAAATCTATGATGCAACGAATTGTATTCATCACATACTCTGATCTTTGTTCTCTTCGAAGATGATTGATAGGGCCTCTCAACCATCGGTAGTGTCCCATACTAGGGCGAGAAGACCACCCAGTTATTTGATCATTGTTGAGGCCTTCATAACTTTCTTTGAATAAAACATTTGGAATACCATCAACAGTTGTTCCTACCTCTAGTAAAGTCACCAAACATTGAGAGTCCCTTCCAAGGTCATGATATCAAACGTGTTGTATCTCGCCATCTATTTGAAGAAGAACATGTCGTTCTTGAAGATCTTCATCTCAATTACATCGTCTTGAAGGTTGTGACAATCGTAATGTCTCGTCTAGCAGATCACCAAACGAAGGCTCTTGAGTCAAATCTGCTAGTTGTTGGTTCTCCATTTCGTGAGCATCACTACTATAAAGAAGCTACAAACAAGGACTGAAAGTAGAATGTTATCTTGCCTAGATCTTGTTTCTTTTATAAAGAAAGTTTTTATCTTCATTTTGATCAATGTCATTGATGAAAAGCCTCCACCGCCTTTGTTGCATTTGTAAGATTTTTTACTCGCTCCCATGTGCGTTTACTAATATCATATCCGCGCTAATGGACAAGATATTTCAATTTATTTTGGCGCCGCCTTGAATCTAAGACTTCTTCAACTTTAAATTCTTCATTATTGTCCACTTCTATAGGAGGAGGTGGAGCTTGTCTTCTTTTTGGTATGTCCACTGTCTTGTATGGTTTAAGAAGAGAAAAGTGGAATCCTGGATGGATTTTTATTGACTCTGGTAGATATAAATGATCAAAAACTGGATTGATTTGTACAAAAATAGAAAATGGTCTAAGCCTTCGATAGTCCAACTTGTCACAAGGACGAGTGGTCTTGATATTGCGATGAAGTAACCATACCTTATCACCTATGTGGAATGGTGGTTGTTCCTTTCGATAGACATCCGCATTGACTTCTTGTTATTCTTGAGTTTCTTTTAATTGCGCCTTCATCGTTGCATGTAGCTCTGACAAATGAATTGCCAAATCTTTTGCAACAGGATTATCAACTTTTGAAAAGTTAAAAGTATCAAGTCGTGGATGATAACCATAATTAGCAAAGAAAGGTGTTTGTTTTGTAGAAGAATGTACCATGTTATTGTAAGCAAACTTTGCCAATGGCAAAAGAGTTGTCCAATCATCTTGTTGGTAGTTAATGGTACATCTTAAATACTACTCCAAAACTTGATTAACACGCTCCGTTTGTCCATCAGTTTGAGGATGGAATGCAGAAGATAGTTTTATATTCACTTTTAGAATCTTGAAAAGAGTCTGTCAAAATCTTGATATAAATTGAGTTCACTTATCTTATATAATATCCTTGGATAATCCATGATAGCGATAGATATTGTCAAGAAAGAGCTTAGTTGTTCCTTCACTTGTGATAGATTTTGTACATGGTACAAAATGTGCCATCTTGGTAAAACAATCTACTATCACGAATATAGAGTTATAGGAACCTAAGATTGGAAGATCCGTGATGAAATCCGTAGAAATAGAAGACCATGGTTGTTCTGGAATGGGTAATGGCTGAAGAAGTTCATAAGGTCGATGATGAGGAGTTTTTGATCTTGAGCAAACATCACCTATAATTTCAAAGCAACGTCTATGAAGCTTTTAGAAAGCTTCCATACCAAATACTATAGAATTAACTTACTTTTACCTACTTTTACTTACTTCTACCTATTTATACATGTAATTATTGGCTTACATGCATATGTCCGTGATACTAGATGCATGTGGTTTCAATGTCTCCAAGATTATTTAATCATAAATAATTTTGTAAATAATCCACTATATCATTGTTTATTTATTAAATGAGATAAAATTCGTTTTGTGCATTGCTATATATTTTGATGATCATAACCTAGTAGATAGCAGATTTGTATATATTGCAGCTACTAACCTACTTATCTCTCACTTTGAGATGAAAATGCTAGGAAAAACAACTTTCTACATTGGTCTTCAGATAATGCATCTCATAGATGATAGTATTTTTTTCTACCAACTAACATATATCAGAAGAATCTTATAAAAATTCAATATGATTGATGCTTATTTATTGTCAATACCAATGGTTGAGCTTCGTCGTGATGGTCATGATCCATATTGTTTGTGCAAGGAAGAGGAAGAACTATTGAGAGATCAATACTCATACCTCATAATAATTTGAGGACTTTTATATTTAGCAACATCTATAAGATCAAATATTGCATTTGCAATTAGTGTTCTTACAAGAAACAGTGCACATCCAATGCTATGACATTAGAATGGCATCAAACATTTATTATCTTATTTAAATGATGCCCGTGAATACAATAAGGTTTTCTTAGATAAGATTTTAATGAGGTAGCAACTATTGATCTTGCAAGATTACAAAAAAGTAAAGATCATGATTCTATGTATAGTTTATGTTATACAAATATTATGACAAGCGAGGAGGAATGTTGAGAGCATTAAATATAGCCAATGCTCTTTATACTATTTAATATAGTCTACAGTAAATATTATAGCTATAGTATTTGGAATGTAGTGGAGAGAAATTGTTTATCTTCTCCTCTTCTCATTGTATATGAGAGATAACCATATCAATATACTCACTCTTGTGTGTTTTATATGTGTGTGCACATTACTTCTAGCTACTCTAGTGTCTCTTCTAAAACATTCTCAATACTTTCACAATTTCTTGTCACACTTGAAGAGCACCACTTCCTTGCACCACCACCAAAAACATAACTCACGTTTTGGTTTCTCCATCAATTGCCAGATGGCCTATGACTACTGTCTAATTCAATTGAATTATCATTTGACATCATATATTTCCAAGGTATATTTAGATGATATAAATGAGGTTACAGTTAGGTATACCCTCTACTGTTTCCCAGCCTCTAAAAACGGAAGCAAAGGGTAGCGGTCACTTTCAGTAATCTTTGCAAAAATTACTGAAAACGTCATGTCAAGGATATAATTCGGCAACTCAATCTGCATGAGAATAACATGATGGGGTGGTCATGGGCCAGCACAGGACAATAGAAAAATTATATACATTTCCAAATACACACACAGACACAGACGTATGTACATATTTACCGAGAGAGATGTATATGAACGTAGGAGACTCAGAATGCTTGGAATGAGTTGGACCTTCTGACCCGCCGAACTGCTCGGGGGTGGAAAGAATGAATTCACCGTTATTACCCTTGCAGCTTTGGGTAAGAGGCTGCAACTTGAGAACACCCATTCATGTAAAAAAAACTGAAACCATCCTTGAAACACATGATGCCTTGTAAACTTCATTATCAATCAGTGCACTAAAGCAAGCCAGCAGAATTGTTGAAGTTAACGCTGCGAAGTATTTACCCGAAATGAAACTAAACTGCACTGCGTATTGTTGTGTACCATATACTTGATTCAGACATACTTTCCTCTGTACTTTGCTCTAACCTCTGGTGGCAATTGATTGATGCCAACCGATGCAGCTAGTAAGTTCTGAGATTCCCCAACCAATGCCTCTGTTGGCCCAAATACAAGACTATGCAAGCTGCCTTTCTCTCTAGTCTCTTCCAGCAACTGCGTATGATTATCTTTGAAATCGAGGTGCTTTTGATGCGCCTCCATGGCCATTTCTTCTGTGTACTTGGCCGACTTTTCCATGGTTATCAAGCACCGTGACCATCTTGTACTCAGGATTTGCTCACTATTAGCAATTAGAGTAAAACAGGGATGCTTAGGAAAATGAGACTCGGAGCAGTCCTCTCTGGCAGCGGGGAAGAAATACACCAACCTACCACCCATGACCAATAGCCTGGCTGCCATGTCGAAAAGATCGTGTACACATTCCACTAGAGTATAGGGGGCAGTTGAAGGTATGTGGTCTTTTCTCATTTCCTCAGGGATCACATAGGCATCTCGTTTTCCGTTAAGCATCTTCCGGCCCCCAGACTTTCGACCACCCGCTCGAACACCATATGGAGGATCACAGATAATGGCATCAAATATCTGACATCAAATAGATGATCATCGAGTTAGCGAAAAAAGAACCTAAACGTGACAAGAAAGATATAAAAGAAACCTGGAGGGCAACATTAAATTTATCTAAGCTTAAAAAGGACACTCGCAAAATAATTGGTGCGAAAAATACCTCACAGACATCAGACCGCCAAGGAGGAGAGTTGTTGTCGGCACGAATGAGACCCAAGGGTTCTCCCAAGTTGTACTGCACACATTCAAAAAAATTCATAAGAAAAACGGAACCTGGAAGAAAGGTTAACGCCTAGAGGTTCTGCACATTTAATTTTTTCAACATGAAGATGACATCAAAAAACACCAAGCAAATTCTGTAATCCTAAGTGATCAGGTGAGTGAAAACCAAATAGACAAGAAAAAGAAAAATAGGAAACACATAAAAATAACAGAAGTTGTACAAATACCTGTTTAAAATTGCTCCAAACATTGCAATTTGGACCTTTTCCATCCCGCACTACTCGAATGTCAATATCTGCTCCCTAATAACACCGTCTAAAATTTTAATGGCAGATAAATGAAACGACAGTGGAACAGTTATCCAACGGGAATCTTTTCCATGACAAAGATGGAAGAGATTATCAACATAATTGAAGACCAGACAACGAGAACACATGCAGGCCTATACGACGCTTCACACAGCACGCATTATAATGTCCTTAACCAAGCTCCTTGAGAATGATGGTTGATATAGGCACATTCGACAGACTTCTACACATATTAAGTACCATCGATAGGTTACCATGGTGAACGCTCCGTAATGTGCAGCAGCCACGAGAATACTTCCTGTCCCGACAAATGGATCATACACAAGCTTCCCCGGCTTCACCAAAGCCTGATGTGCCATCAAAAGAGCGATCTCGGCATCCATAGCTGTGGGTCCTAGGTATTTTCGCCTACTTAACTCGTACTTTGCAACAACGGAGCGATCCGAGCATCCAATTTCACGCGCAAAATACATGCGCTTAGCCGCCAAAGGAGGCAGACCATTTTGCTGCGCTTTTCCATCAATGTCTATGAGCCAGAACTTATACTGTGGCTTTTTCAGCTGCACTTGACCCTGTAATGCAAGTTGCTATAAAAGTCATATCATCTTAAGATATCATGCTTTCAATTCCATTCAAACTCGTTTCGATGTAGCAATAATCTCAAAGTAGTATTTGAGGTGCAACTTCTCATTTTATCTTTCAGGACTTGTGGAAAGGCAAGCAGGTTGAGGTTTCTGCACCTTGAAAGGCACATAACTAACACTCTCGATGCGAGCGCTCTGCTCATTAAATGTCAAGATTTTGCCAAAGCAATCAATGACTATTTTAAACGTCGTATCTTCAGCCAAGTACGGCGCCTTATACTCTTCTGGATAATGCTCCACGGCTTCTTTCAGTTCCTCATGAGTACATCCTTCTCCCCACACCTCATACATTCCTTTCAACAGCAGGCCTGCAACGCCGCGACGTGAACAAATGTATCAATTCCGTGTTTACTATTTCGAAACAAATTTACATTCTGATACGTTTGCTGCAATTCAAATACGGTACTCTCAACTTCTGAACCCTAAACCCTAAACCCTAGTTCTAGAATCGAAATATGATCTTAATGCGAGCTGAAAAATCACTCTCAGATGGACAAAAGGCGACACAGATGAATGATTATTTTTCTTGCTCACAGAGCTTACAGGTATCACTAGAAAAAAGACAGACGCGAGCTTACTTTGTGTGGCAACTTTACGTGCGATTCCCTCATTAGGGAGATTCACATAATAGAAAGGAGAATCGGGATGATGATCAGGAGCTTGTTTCCATTGCAACCCTTGCCCCACCTTATCTCCATCAGAGTATCCATGCAATTTTGCTAGAGCCTCGATTTCTGGTAACCTGTAGTCTAGCAGCCTGTGCAAGAAGTAGCACAAGTACCACATCTTGCCACTTCACAGTCCCTCCCTCTTCTTTACCCGTGGCTCCACAAAACCTCTAGAAACTCAAGAACCCGGAACAACAGAGAGCCAACGTTTAACCCATCCGCCACAACAACTTCAGCATGCAGAAACTTCCCAACACCTCAAGAAAGACTCAGATACTCCGATGCATATCTAATGATCGCTCTCAAGCGGCATTCTCACTAATAGACGCTGCTCTTTCAAGCGTCAGTCAGACATGACGTTAACGCAAACCAACCCTAACCACGAATTTGCTCTCTAATTCTCGAAAATAAACACAAATAGATAAACGAACCTCTCAAAAACAGTGGTACAGAATCCTAGACCTAAACTCTGCGCTACAATGACTACAGCAGGGCGTGAATGAGCAAGGAATTGTTCAAATGGATGGCAAACTGATCCGTGCGAAGCGGCCACCTCATCCACTCTTTTACTATTTCCTTGAAAACCCGACAAACCACTGAACGATTCCAAAATACTACTACTACTTCTCGTCCTTCCTTTCCTACTTCTACGCTTCCTTCTACTCAACAAATTCGGAATACTTTTTCCTTCTTCGCTACTCGTGGTTACGGTGCAATCGTGCGGCCGCGCGAAGCCAGCAGCAGCCGCCGACAAACTCCCCCTCATTTGCTTCTCAGCTCCGTCCGTGCACGCAAATCATCCATTAAATTTTCATTCGTTGGTTCTTCATCCTTAATGAGAACCCTTTTCACACTTGGCAGTCGTGGGCGAGAAGCATCACCGAAGCATCGGTTTCTCTTTCTTATTGGGCTCCTTTCGAATTAAGATGTCTGTTATATTTTTGCAAAAAAAGTGTTTCAACAATGATTGTTATTTGATGGCTCAATGCAACTCGATGAAGTGTTGCAAAACTATGATATACCAAAGAACTGATTATTTGATAAGAAGGTTTATATCTCTACTGTAGAGATTCTAGCCACATGGTTTGTGTGTTCAGTAAAAAACGAAACCCTTGAGAAGAATAACATCATTGTCATAATGAAAATAAAGTATACAAAATTCAACATTTGAATCACGATGGACTGTAATTCATATATTTACATTATTCTTACAATGATGGTCTGGATGACGAAGAATTTGCACCCATTGGAATACCATGTGTAGCCTCACCCACTGTTCCATTGGCTGCAAATGTGTAATTCATTTTTGAAGTTCTACTATCTCAGTAGCATCGCTTATGTTTGCTCAAAATCACGAAAAACAGCATAGAGAAGCACTGGAATTCGTTGCTATATAAGCCTGAACAGTCGAGGCTACAATGAGTTCTTCGCCACTCTTGGGCTCAGTGGCAATCCGGTGATCTTGGTCATGCGAGGAGAGCGGACTCTGTGGATTGCTTCAAGAAACTCTCTTCAGCCATACATTGTCTTGTTGAGCTCCCTCAATCACATTTCCAGGACAACTGCTCGAACATACGAATTTGTTCACAGTTAGAGGAGATAGGAATCCATGGAGAAATCTTAAGCTGCTCAAACTATAGACTGAACCTGTTGGACTGATCGTGAGCGCAGAATCCAGGAGTGGTAAGGACTAGGAGGAGTTTCGAAGGAGAAGCTGTTGCTTACATTCAGAGTCTGTTCGAATCCATTTCCCATTCTGAGTGCAAGCCCAAGCGTTGCCGAAACTGTGATCTCGCCTTCTGATCCGCTCCCCACATCGATCTTTCGCATGATTTGGTGGATTTCGAGGAGGTTGCTGCTGCTGCGTCGCTTTCGGAGTCACTCGAGTTGATTCAGCTCCATCGTCAACGTTTCCAGTGCACGGAGGACCCTCAAGTTTTGTTGCAATCTGATTCGACCACAGTCAATACCAGTTGATGAAAACAAATAGACAAGCCATCGGTCTCAAACATGGGTAATGATCCCGTACCTGCGTTTGGAACTCTTCCGTGGCTGTTGGGGAGTTACACTTCTTATCTGTTACAATTTTGGCTGCAAAGGAAGGGTTGCTCCTTGACCGCCACAGCCTCCAGACTCCTCGAGGAGAATAGCTTGTGGTAATAGTTCTCTGGAGTTCGCGATCGCCGTTTGCCAACTGTTTCTTGTGTGGTTTGTTCCACACCCACTCCTTGTCTGGTTTTGGAGTCCTTCGCCTGGACGTGAAGAGCCCATATACACCAGGCGAGCAGAGTTCCTTGTCGGAGAAGCAATCAATTGTTAAGAACGATACACCAGGCTGCTTTTCAGCGACTTTCTCGATCTCGATCTCAACAGCATTCGGTGTGCGCATTAGGATGATAGGTATTGCACTACTTGAGTAGGACACCCTGTTTAGACCGGCTCTCACAGCCTGGCCATCCAAAAATACTCTCGAAGATGCATCGTGATCGCCAAAGACTGGCAGCTCCTTCCTATTGATGACGGCATTGGTGGTGCTATCTGAACGGAGGCTTCTTAAATTCGATTGATGGAGTTCAGTTTTGTCGTCGGAGCTTCTGACTTCGCATACCAGGAGCTGGACGCTCGATACGCAACCGCGACGAGAATTGTTGAGATCAGATTTGTGTGGTCGGCGGTCGATGTTATCACGTACCCCTGCGAGCTGGTTTAAGCCAAATGTTCCGATGGTAAGCAACCCTTGCTCTTGGTGGCTGATCACAAATTGGATTGTCTCCCCCAACCCGTCTTCCCATTCGCAACCAAGGTCGCTTGCTACCTCAGACATGCATTCATCTACTTTCCCGAAAATTGCAACTTGATAGTTGGTAAGATCCTTCGAGGGCCTAGGAAGCCCCATGTCTGGCATCTGAATTTGCTGTATTTGAAGCCGAATCTCTTCCTCCGATTGGAGTAGATATGCAGTTCCAGGGCTACGGGTACTCCATGCGGCATCTGGTTAACGAAACCATATATTCACACACACACACACACATATGTGCAAAATAAATTGCAAATCAAGACATGCAGCTCACCAATCAAATTCGCTGTTCACAAATTTTATCTCTCATGGATACCGTAAAGATATCTGAGGTTCAATTCGATCACACATAGCCTATGTATCAGAATTCAAATGATTAGAAATGTGTGAAGTTTCTATGATCATAGGGATCGTCAATGAAGCATTACATTTCGTGCTGCAATCGCTCTCCTAAACTACCATCAGTTAGAAGTCGAAAGAGGTGACTGGTGACTGTAGCACCCAGTGACACAGGTCATCTTAAATCTGACTATCTATTCTGAGTAGGATATTTTTGAGTACATCCCAAAATTACAGAAGAAAGTGGATCCTCATGCTTAATGATCACATAAAGGATGTCTTCCATACAACTCACACACGGTGTTGAATCGTTACAAAGTCATGACTGCACGGTTACTGAACATGTGCCGATAGAGGTTGCAAACCTGATTTCTGAACATTTTGAATGCTCAGCTGTGAGGTCGGAGGATCCTTCTTCCTTCCCCAACCGAAAAGCTGCGCACCACCATGGATCTTTAGTTAATTTTAGGCCTCTTATGCGGATTCGACATTTCAAAGCTGGTCAAGCCAGAACGCATACCTTCATAATGGGAAGATAGTGCTTGACTACGCTATCTGAGTTGATCGATCGAGATTCAGATCAAGATCCAGGAAGTTGAAATGGTACAAACTATACAAGAACAAACGCTGCGGTGGGACTGAGAATTATCGGTGGTCCCTACCAAATCGGAGGAAGGATAAACGGTGGATCAGGCATGGAAAGCAGCAAGGTGGAGCCGAAGTTGATTGCTGCGGCGGCCGACTTAGGTAAGTATGTCGATATTTTAACCCTACTTGTGCTATGCCTGGAGAAAAACTCCTCGAAGGATTGATCAGAAGCGGTACAAAGTTCTTGTTGAACACCGAGGTAATGGAGAAAAACTCCTCGAAGGATTGATCAGAAGCGGTACAAAGTTCTTATTGAACACCGAGGTTATTGAAGTGCAATTGAATGAGGAACATATTAAACAAGAGATGAAACAACTCCAACACTACACAATAACAGTCTACTTTGTGGGTCTTAAACTCACAACCAGAGCTTTACAAGCATAGATTGGGCAGTTAAAAGCCAAAGTGAAAGAAGATTAGTACTTAGGATGCAACTTGGGATTTGGATTTTTTCAAGAGGTTTGTAAAGATGAAATTTCTTTGCAAAAGTTATTGATAGAAACTTCACGCATTTCATAGTGGAAAATTTGTATATTCCAACCTTCGATGGCATGGTTTAATCCAAGTGGCCTAGTCGGCATGAAAATGCCAACATGCATAACCTTGAAATTTATTCCAAATGAATTGTTGAGCAATGTAAGGGACTTAGCCCAAAACCTTAGACTTATCTTGGATTAGGACTACAACAACAAAAATGGCCTTGACCAAAATTTATATATAACTTTGACAAATGGAAGTCCTAAGTTGACGACAACAACCTATCAATTATTATATGTGGATGGAATATTTCATATGCAATTGCCAATTGTTGCTAGGTAATTGAAGGTCATTGTAGAATTGGTAATTGGTCTTCGAAACCCCGTATCAATTCTTTGTTGGTAAAATCTGGAATTGGTCGGATGGTTACCAATTGGTATTGGTAGGAATTGGTAGTTAGCGGGAAAAGCGGTTAACAGGCCAAAATATGTACCTTTTGGAATCTGTTAACTGCCATGTCAGTTGAGTAGGATAAGTGGGTTGAGGAAGATGACCTCCGGGCCAGACTTGTGAGTCTTAGAGCCGGGGTATGCTTGGGTGCTACCTCTATTTTTTCTATTTCTTTCCTTTTGTATTTTGATGTTTCGTTGTGTTTATAAAGAGAAGTTTATGAGAATTGTGTGTTGATCACAGTGTTACAGTGAATGCTGTATTGGACCAGAATTGATTCTATACATTGCACATGAAATAGTGTTATAGATTGAGAGATGATAGTTTGAAAATGATTGAATGACCATTGAGTTGGAAAATATAAATGAAGTTAGAATTACAGAGAATTGATAAGAAATTGAGAATGTTGTAATTGAAGTTATTAAATTAGACATGGTACTGAAGAATTAATATTATACAATTCAGTGATTGGGAATTAACTTATTGAATATCAAATGATTATATTCAATTAATGGTGACCTTAACAATTAACTCATGCGACAGTTCTTTCCCTTGTGTTTGAACCGATTTAAACTATACTTAATTCAGAAATTGTGGCAATTCGGATTTCCTGATTACATTTTGGCTCCGCTGCCGGGGAAAGAACAATAGTACGAAGTGTTAAAAATTGAATGTAAAATAGAAAAGGGAAATAATTCCAATAATAAAAATATTGGAAGTTGAATAAAAGGATTATAAGAATGTTTGATTTAGACTTTGAGAATTTTTGGCCAAAGTCATCAAGAGAAAGTTATCTCCATGAAAATGGCTTGCAATTTTTGTATGAACTTGAAAAATTCCAAGGTGAAAGAAAAGATTTAATTGATCAAATTTTAATAAGAGATGAAATGATCAATGATTTAAAATTGGAATTGCGAGAAGAACATGAAACTTTTCAAATTCGGGAAAATCAATTGCAAGAAGAAAGGATATTTAGGGATATGAAACAACAAGAGTTCGATATGAAATATCAAAGAGAAGAATTGTTAAAGGTATATTCTACATTTGAAAGTAAAACTTTACAATTGAAAATTGATATTTCAAAATTGACTCAACAAAATGAAGAATTAAGTAGTCAATTGGAAGAAATGAAAAAAATTAACCTTGATAATGACTACAAGAAGCAAAATTATCAATTAAATATTGAAGTTATGGAAAAAAAATTGGAAATGCTTCAAAGTTCTTGTGATACAATTACAGCACAACATGATATGGCTGAGGATAATCTTACCAAATTTAGTCATAATGTGCAGAAAAATAAATAGAATTATGAATTGTGTATTGAATCTTTAAAAAATGAATTATGCACAAAAACAAATGACTTGATCAATTCATTGGAAGAAAAAGATGATTTATTGGAAGAAACTTCAAATCAAAAAAAGATTATTTATAATTTGAAAAGTAAATTACAACATGAGCATGAAAAATTTCAACAATTAGAAGAAAGAAACCTTGAATGTATGGAAAGGAAAGAAGCAACATTCAAACAATTGCATGAGGATATGAATTATGACAATTTGGAATATAAAGATAAGAATATAAAATTGAAAATTGAGATTACTATATTAATTGATAATAATAGTAATTTAGTTTCACAACTAAATGAAGAAAAATCAAGATTCAAAATTAAGGAAGTTGAGGCCATTGCAAACAAAGTTTTGTCAAAACGAGTTGAAGAAAATTTGCAATCAAAGATTTTAAAGAATAAAGAAATTTTATTTCTAGCTAGACAAAGTGGTGAAGCTTTGGCAAAATTAAAAGTTAAGCCATTGTTTTGCAATCAAGCCATTGAAGGTTGCTTAATAAAATATTTTGAAGTCAAATTCAACAAATTTACAATCTTTAGTACTTGGAGGCATCATTATTTACCAAATTTTAAATTGAAGAATGAAACCATGTCAAATTTGCTTAAAGTAGATAAGCAAGAACCAAAGCTGTTGAAAAAAATTGTTTTAAAAAGGACAATGGATTTCAACATGTGGAAAAGAAAAACTTTTATAACTCAAAAATCAATTGTGAAAACTAAAATATCAGCGTTTCTTTATGAGAATTTTCATTCAAATTTGGACGGTGTGAAGGAAATTTTATATTCTCAAACCTTTAATCTCAAAATTAATAAAATAATTATGGATCTTAAGACGTCTATGACATGTTTAATTGATAACTATACGACTATACTCAATATTGGTGGTTTAAGATTTACAAAATCTTATGAAGGATGTTTTCCAAACATTAAGCAAAGTATGTGTGCAATGAATTCAAAGTATTATCATATATTATTTTCAAGCAATATTATTGCATCAAATGGCAGTTTGAAGAATTTGTTTCTACAAGTGTCAAGTAATGAAAAAACATGGGATCCTGGCATATTTGAAAGGAAAGAAATTCATGCGCTGAACAAAATAAAGATATAAATCAGTTTATAAATGGGAAATCTAGTCTAATGGTAATCAACAAGCCAATTCAGATTGGTAAAGATCCAATTTAGATTAGAAATGACCCAATTCAAAGATGGAAATGACCCAATTAAATTGGAAAATACCCAATTTCAGATTGGAAAAGACCTAATTTAAATATTGAAAGACGAAGGACCAATTCAAATATTGGAACAGACCCAATTATTGAAAATCAGCAAGAACCAATACATGGCGAAGGTACTCCAATACTGTTTAAAAAGGAAAGTCCAATACCAGAACCAATAGTAGGTTCAATTTTATTAATCAATTCGACCAGTATATTGGGTTGTTCACCAATTTTAAGGAGCCAATTTCAACCAATTTGGGTGGCCAGTCTTAACCCGTAAGAGAACCAATTATTGAAACATAGAAAGCAAACTCCACACAAGCAAGTTAGGACCAGCAAGGTTGCACTTTACAAATAGAATGTGGTATGAGATGATTCTTCCCATGCCAACCCTTTTCTTATATACTAGTACCAAGGTACCATGTGTTACAACCCATATGGGATATCTCTTAGGACCAGCCCTCTCCTTGTATTCTAAGGCACTATGGACCAGCAACTAACCTTGTAGGATATCCCTCATTACTCATATACTCTATTGACCATTAGCAACAACTAAATGAGTTCTTTCCTTCAACACTCCCACTTTGCTATTGGTCAATTAGCTATCAATCCTAATGCCTTACTCAATATGTTGTGTCTCTCTTTCACCAAGGCTTTTGTTAGCAAATCAGCCAACATGTCTTTGGTTTCACAATACATCATATCAATAACTCCCATCTCTATCTTCTCTCTTATAAAGTGGTGTTGAATATCAATGTGCTTGGTTCTTGCATGATACTTTGGATTCTTTGCAAAAGCCAAACATCCTTGATTGTCACATCTCAATGGAGTGGCTTCCAATTGCACAAGTCCAATGTCTTCCAACAACAACCTCAACCAAATTGCCTCCATTGCTCCATGACTTGTTGCCATATACTCCGCCTCCATTGTGGACCTTGCAATGGTTGGTTGTCTCTTACAATTCCAAGATATGGCTCCCATTCCAACAAAGAATACATAGCCCGTTGTTGATCTTCTATCATTTGTATCTCCAGCCCAATCCGCATCACAAT